AATCCTCTTCCCTACTATGGGTCCAATTAATACATCTGACATCGTATGTTTGGTATGTGTTTCAGGAGGCTGGCATCTGTTCTGTGTGAGGGGTGATGTCCCAGTGGAGGGCAGTCTGTTGGAGGTACAGTGCTCTTGCTCCAGTCTGAGGTCTCGTGGCTCATTGATCTTGTTGAACAGCCAGCAGGGGGCGATCTACCTGTGGCATGGCTGCAAAGCCCACAGCAAGGCATGTCAGGTGGCCAAGCAGACGGTCCAACGCCTCACACAAATGTGAGCAACTCCTTTAGAATTCTGTAAAAAGTATCATGTAAACCCATGACAAATAATGAAAGATGCACGTTGCCAGATTAGGAATGATTTCATGTGGTTAATGTGATGATTAGGTGCCCACCTGAGCTGAGTCTGAGAACTGGCAGATTTATGAATGTCCAGGAAGTGGAGGAGGGGAAAGAGCCAGCAGACTTCTGGAATGCTATTGGACCAGAGGACAGGAAGTCATATGACTGCATGCTGCAAGGTGTGACGTATAACAAACTATGATAAATAACATGTGAACTTGTTACTCTTTGTCATGCAATGAACATTTTCACCCATTTTTCACAAGAGATTGTCTATGTTTTTTATTCCTTTTAGATCCTGGTAAATTTTATTTTACCCCCCGCCTTTATCACCTGAGTGCCCAATCAGGAACTTTCAAAGGGGTGGAGCTTATTAGCCCCGCCCATGTAAATGGTGTAATTACAGCAATGCCCTTCCTTCAGGATAAGTTATATGCCGTGCCACATCCAGGTGAGAGTAAGCAAGTTCACAAACTGTACACAGAAGCATAAGAGTGCACATAAAGACTTTAACACTACACTTAACCTTAGGTTAACTTTTAACCCCTTTTAATGTTTAGTACTTAAGGAAGTTGACAGACAAACAGTTAAAATGAGAAAATCTTAAAATAATATGGGTTATTTTTCTCTCAAACTTCTGTGGTGTTGTACCATTCTCTTGGTAGCAATATTCCTGCTGGATAACTATCTGGAGGTGTATTTATGGCAAAGTTGTGAAGCTTCAATCTCACAGCGGCCTCACTGGGACAAAGAGAAGAAGTGCGCCATGGAGACTGCCTTACAGTACTGCAAAGGTAAATAGATATTAAAAAGCACAGATGCTGTTCAGAAGCCTTCTGTTTCTGATTTCTAAGTTATTTTTGGTGTTTTGCGTTCAGAGAGGAATCCCAGACGGCCTCCCATGGCGTATCTTATTGATGAAGGGGCGGAGCCTCTCACCTTTACTAATATATTCCCTTCATGGGAGATGAGACTGACACAGGAAGTACAGGTGAGTGAGGACACATCATCATCATCATCATCATATACATGCGCATGTACAGAGTTATTTGATTTACACTGAAATCTCATTTAAATATTTGTTTGCGTTTTTTTCCCCAGGACTGCACAGTGCGTAAAAAGCTGACTTTGGTGCAGGATGCTCTAGCTGCCCTTAATAAGCCCCAGTTTCCCCTTAAGGATCTGCTGAAGAGACCTTTACCTGAAGGAGTGGATCCTTTACACTTGGAGAACTACCTGTCTCAGCATGATTTCAAGGTTTAACATTAAAACATAATAAAGATTATAATACAGTTTGACTGACAAGATGAGCTTCAAAAGTATCTGAATAGCAGCCTTTCACTGTCATCAGTTATTTTATACTGTTTTTTTTTCATCTAAAATTGCATTTTATATCCATACAAAGCCAGCCTTGTGTAGCCAAACCTTTGACTTACTGACATGTAAAGCAACAAATTACAGTTAATTTTATTTGTACATGCAGTTTAAGGGCTGTTTTATCTTATATAGATTTTTTTAGATATTGAACAAATAGTAATTTAAATAATTAAGATATTTAATGAATTATTTCACAGACACATGTTTGGGGTCTTATGCTCATCAAGGGTGCCTTTATTTGATCAAAAATACAGAAAAAACAGTGATGCTGTAAAAATATGTGACCCTGGACCACAAAACCAGTCTTAAGTCGCTGGGGTATATTTGTACCAATAGCCAAAAAAACATTGTATGGGTAAAAATTATTGATTTTTCTTTTATGCCAAAAATCATTAGGATATTAATTAAAGAAGATCATGTTCCATGAAGATATTTTGTAAATTACTTACCATAAATATATCAAAACTTAATTTTTGATTAGTAATATGCAATGCTAAGAACTTCATTTGGACAACTTTAAAGGCGATTTTCTCACTATTTAGATTTTTTTGCACTCTCAGATTCCAGATTTTCAAATAGTTGTATCTCGGCCAAAAATTCATATCCTAACAAACCATACATCAATGGAAAGCTTATTTATTCAGCTTTCAGATGATGTATAAATCTCAATTTCACAAAATGGACCCTTATGACTTGGTTTTGTAGTCCAGGGTAACATATTATTACAGATTAAAATAATTGTTTTCTATTTGACTATATTTTAAAATATAATTTATTCCTGTGATGGTAAAACTGAATTTTCAGCATCCATTACCCCAGTTTTCAGTGTCACATGACTCTTCAGAAATCATTATAATGTGCTGATTTGCTGCTCAAGAAACGTTTCTTATTATCATCAGTGTTGAAAACGGTTGTGCTGCTTTATATTTTTGTGTAATATCACTACATTTGCTTCATGATTCTTTGATGAATAAAATTTTACAAGAACAGCATTTATTTGACATTTTGTAATATTATAAATGGCTTTACTGTCACATGTATTTAAAGCATTCTAACTAATAAAAGTATTAATTTCTTAAAAATAAATGTAATGACCCTAAACATTTGAATGGTAGTATAACTTTGGGGGAAAAGCAGAATACATGGATGTCTAGTTAACTACTAAGCCTTAAACGTAACTCGGAATATCTTGGGTTCACAACTTGGGTTCCAAGCAGATTTAAAAAAAAAAAAATCCTGAGAAAAAATCTGTGTGCCTTTCAATGTCAGCCAATCAAATTAGAAAACAGAGGCTAATATCAAGTAAACTATTAAGTCCAGCAGGATATTAAAAAAAAAAAGATATAGCAGGTGAGGGTTAAGTAACTTACCTTTTTTTTTTTTTTTTTTAGGTTGCTTTGGGAATGACATGGAATGACTACAACTGTCTATCAGATTTACAAAAAACAGACCTGAAGAAAAGTAAAGGACTTTACTGAGTGTCAGCAGCACTGTGACCTACGCTCAACAGAAGCAATATTTTAAAAGATGTGTTTGTAAGATGACATTTTCTTGATAGCACTCATGCGCACAGTGTGAGTGTGTTAAACAGTGAGTTGTGAGTGTGTGTCCTTTCGGTCTGCTTCTTTTCAGTCTGCTGCTTTTTTTAATGCCTAATGTCCAGCACTCATTTTGGCCAAAAGCTTTCTACTCAAAGCTAGACAGAACTGTTTACTCTGACTTTGAGAAATAGCTGTCATGTTTTTCTTTTCTTCCTCCCCATCCTCCATTGCAGCTGTTTCTCCTCCCTCTTCCTTTATCTCTCCCTGTCTGTGTCCTCTCTCTCTCCTCTCTCCACAAAGCCGCACATGTGAATAGAGGTCTAAATGTTTTACTGAACTTATAGTTGAATTTTGTAATGTTTATTTTAAAATAAAAATATCATGATGTCTTTTCATTGTGAAACTTTTATTCACCTTTACAAAGCTCAAATACATAAACAGTACGAGAGTCAAAGAACAAATAGAGGAACAAACAAAAAATGTCAGTAACAAGATTGAAATGAAAAGAGGAAATACTCATAATCAACAACTGAATGCTGCAATATATTCTTATTGAAACTGAATAACATGATTGATAACTGAATTTAATACATGAAATTACAGAGTTCTGAATGTGTGTGTGTGTGGCTGCTGAATGTGTGAAGTGTAGTGGGGGGTTGAAGGAGGGAATTAGTGTGGATTTAGATTTCATGTGACTCTGGTGAAAAAATACAGGCCACGTCTAGATAGCAGATGGACAAAAAATGTGAGTCTTACTTGCTGCATAACTGTTCACAACCAGCTAGTTAACTGTTCAAAAGTTTGGGTGTTTTTTAAGAAATTAATGTTTATTTAGCAAGGATGCATTAAATGGATCAAAAGTGACAGTAAAGACATTTATAATGTTACAAAAGATTTCTATTTCAAATAAATACTGTCCTTGAACTCTTTATTCATCAAAGAACCTAAAAAATGGCATTTTAAATTATTTTAAATTGCCAAATAAATTGTAATATTTCACATACTGTTTTTACAGTATTTTTGATCAAATAAATGCAGCTTTGGTGAGCATGAGACGTCTTTTAAAATACTTAAAAAAAAAAAATACTGACCCCAAACATTTAAGTGTACACATCATGAGAGAAAAAAATACTAATATGAAAGTGTACAATTGTGACTTGTCAATTTGTGAATTGACTATTTATAAACTGATATGCGAAGGAGACTGAGAAAATGAACCATTATTTCTGCTGCTTAATTTTTTTGTGTATTTTTAAAGAGAAATAAAAGCGAAAAGATCTTAAAATTTGATAGAACTTGATGCTAATAATGAAAATATGTAAATAATGTATGAAAACATTGTATGTATTGTATTAAAACATTACACTATGTAAACTCAAATATGAGAAACAACAAAAAAAAAGACAGACCTTGTTTTGTTTATATATGGTTTAGCTAACAAACTTAGTGATAACAATTAGCATTTTTGGGAATTGGTTTATACATTCATGTTTTTTATTGTCTCAGACACTTTTTGGCTCTAGCATCTACATATAAATCCAGCGTGAGGAAATATTAGACAGCATGACCACCGATTAAACTGGAATGTAACAGAGATAAAAATGAGATACAGTGAAAGATTGAAAGCAAGGCTAAGCTAAGATGCCTTTCATATCATGGATGTGCTGAGGTATTGTCCACTAAACTGTCATATTCTTTACAGGTGCATTCATGCACGTTCTTGAATAATGTGTGTACTGTATATGTCTGCCACAGTCTTGTGAGTGACTCAGATTGACTGCTCTCTCTCTGGCAAACCTCTCTCTGGTTCAGATGCTAAAGCCGCCTCTCTCAACACGACCATGTGATCCTCGGCCGCATGCAGTGATTGGTCGATCCAGTCCAGGCTGCCAGACATGTGACAGGCGTTTCGTGTCACCAGTACCAAGTGACTGACCGACAGTAGTAATGCTGTGGCCCTGGTCCAAAAAATAAGTTGGTAAAGTCAGTTCTTTGCAGAAATGTAAACTTGTAAACTTACAATAGTCCCTGCCAGCATAAGAAGTTACCTGGCATCCAGAAGAATGGGGTCCAGTGGAGGGTACATAGATCGAACCACGTCATCCACCCTGTGATGGCACAAAGCAGCTCATGGTCAGTACCCACACTCTCAGATGTGTCATATCAACTGCTCAAACTGTTTACCTTGGACTGATGCGTTTGGCCACGGTGATGATGTCATTCAAGCTGGCAGGTGCTTTGACCTTTGCTCCAGAGCCCATTGTCATGGCAACTAGCTTTTCGGTGAGAGTGTGGCATATCTGTACAGAACCAGGACAATGATTTCTTTAAACCAAAGCAAAAATGCCATGTATTATTTATTATACATACATGACTGTTCAAAAGTTTGGGGGTCAGAAAGATTGTTTTTAAATGAAATTAATAGTTATATATATATATATAACACACACTGCACACTCTAATATTTAATTGGACTGTCTTTAGCTTTGATTACATTGTGCATTCATTGTGGCATTGTTTCAAAACTATTATTTAACATCACAACATTTATTTCCATCAAGAATTGCATTAATTTTTGGCCGAGATCTTGTATTGACAATGGGAGAGATGTACCACTCTGTAAAGTCAACTCCAGAATATCCTAAAGATTTTCAGTAGGGTTAAGATCAGGACTCTATTATGACCAGTTCAAGGTTTCTCATGCTCCCTGAATCACTCTTTCACAATTTGAGCCCAATAAACTTGGTACTGTCATCCTGGAACATGGGAACGTCTTCCAACATGTTTGTTCGAGAAATAAAAAGTTACGCTCTGCATCAGTTGGGGTTAAAAGAATGGTTGCCAAATATACAACATGCCAGAAACATATTAATCACTGCAAAACTGACGAAATCCTACATTTTAAGAGCTTGCTTATTTAAATCCAAGCGACTTTTTTTGGCCAGGCAGTGTATTTCACAAAATCATTGTTCTAACTGTATTTTTGATCAAATAAGTGCAGCCTTGTTGAGCATAACATTAAAACCTTAAAAAATCTTACTGACCCATATTATATTATATTGTATTTGGTCAGGAAAAATGCTAAATTTGTGCACAAAAATCTACCTTCAGAATCGCAATGCAATGAGACACAAGACCACTGAGGGAAAGAGAAAGTGATATCAGTAAAGTATCAAAACCAGAATATTATTATTACTAAAAATGGTTATGGTAGTGAGAATGAACATGGAGAGAAGGCATACGAGGCATCTTCGATCCAGTCTTCGTTCTCCAGCATGGCCTCAATATGAGGATTAGTGATGACAACATCATCCAGCTCCAGCTCTGATGGTTCACTCTGAGTCTCCATCGCGCCGATCAGATCAACTGTAGGCCTGAAATATGAGGATAAACAAGAGGTAGAGAAAGTGATTAAAAAAATTCATTATTTCAATGGCTAGGAATGAAGTGTTGGAATGGTGATCCCTTCTTAATCCTCAGTGTGGGAATGAGGTTATGACTTATTCTCTAGTGCATACTCAAGTACATACTTGGAATCAAACTGATGCAGAAAGTCCGGAGGGTGGCAGTAACGATGACGACACACAACCACCAGCGCCACAAATGATGCCAAGAAGATGGTGGCGAGTACACCTATGGCCACGATCACCACCGTCTCCATGGTTACAGATGAAGAAGAACGAGGAGGATTGTCAAAAAGTTGTTTGGCTGGAGTTTGCAAAAGCTAGACGATTCTGAAGAAATAAAGATAAGACTTCCATTTTATATCAATATCAATAACCCTTCTAAATAGTCTAACCTATCTATCTATCTATCTATCTATCTATCTAATTATTAATATATTTATATGAAACACTATTTTCTATCACTTGTATTTTTATTATGACTAGTTCCACCAGAGCAATTTAAGCATTGTACTAGTTAATAAAAGCTTAGTTTTACCTTTGTGTTGCCCAAAATAGAAAAGAAGTATTAGACTTCAGTATTATTGTGACGTGTTGAGAAAATAATGTCTTGTTGAAAACATTTCCTCCTGTTTACTCTCCTTATGCTTCACTAAATACAGAGATAACAGCTTGATTTATATGCTTATCTTGATCATCATTCGACTCTTATTTAGACTATTTTCAAATGAATATGTAAAGCTTCTTTCAGATTGTCCTCTCATTCTTTCTTTCTTTCCAGGGCCTCTCTGACAGCAGTCTAAGAGCCATTTTTTTATGAGTATAAAAATGACAAAAATGAATGTAGGAGTGTTTTCTGTACCTGTGTATGTAATTGTGTGTTTGTAAGGGTCACACCCATCGGACCTTTGATCAGTCAATCATTAACCTGCTCACAGTATATGTGACACCATGTGTTTGCTATGTATCACAGTCATTATTGCTGTACTGTATATGTATGGTGTGTTTGCTTTGCCCTTTTAATAAAAACCAGAGGACTGAATATTTCGATTTGAGCATGAAAAGCCTTGAGTATCATGAAGTTATATAGGTCTATATCATTTCATTTCCACCACAGTCTTTCATTTAATGTTAACAATGCCGTCAATAAAAACTTTTTTTTATATATAAACCCAACAATATTTTGTCTGTTTAGTGATTTAATGCTTATTGAACATGCACAGCTGTTACAACATATGAGAAGTAATATTTCGATGAGGTGATTATGTGAAATTGTGTTTTGGAATGCTGTAATTCCCTAATCGGATTAATTTGAACTCCCCTGGCCGTATCATACTGTGCACTCCCCATAGGCGCCAATTCAAATTCATCCTGGCATTCAGAGACACTGGATTAACCTTTACAGATTTGACAAACACAACGTATTTTGGGGACACTAAAACAGTGATGTTATCACAAATTTTACACATTGGCTTGATAAGTAAGCTGGTCTTTAGTTATAGATGCACAGACTTTAGTTTGATAGCCACAGTCCAGGCAATAAGATTAAATATAAAAACATCTAATTATGTAAAATGAAACCTTTCACCACCAGTCAAAAACGGCACAGAAAAGTAAGTCTAAAGTGACATAAAAAAACTCAGTTGCATAACACACCACAAGTCGTTGATAATCAATCAATCAATGCTATGTGTATAGTGTGGTTGCCTTGCCATTTTAGTAAAAACCATATATATCTAGTGACCCTGATATATATATAT